GCGGTGGTTATGAGGTTCTTCCGATGGATTTGGCGAAAGATTACTTGCTGGGTGAGTTTCAGAGAATGCTCCATCCTCATGACATGCTGGGGTTGGAGGTGCTGCTCCTGGAGGTCACGGGAACCCATCTGGGGAGGAGGCCGGGACACCTATTGCCCCTTTCCTTCTGTGCTTGCCTTTCTGCCGACCACTGTGCCCCTCTTGTCTTTCCTCTCCCTGTCTTGGTTCTTAGGTTTTCTTCTGGAAACAAAAAGCTAAGTCAACCTTCTTGGAACACCATGATTCCCAGAAAAGTGTATTGAAGGTGGAGAAGACTCCCAAGGTGGTTGAGACTTTCAAGTTGGTTGAGCCCTGCAAAGAGGCTAAGATTTCCAAGATGGTGGAGTCCCCCGAGGTGGCTGATGTCTGCGAGTTGGCCAAAGCAACAGATAGGGCTAAGGTGGAGCCGGGTCATAGGGCCCGATCCCTGCTGCAGCTGCCCCGGACAGCTGTCAAGTCTGTCTCCATGCTCATGGTCTCGGCCCTGCAGAGCGGCTGGCAAATGTGCAGCTGGAAGGTTAGCACCATATTTCCCTAGTTCCCAGTGGTCCTCCCACCCTCCCAGAGCCTCTATGACTCATTCCTCACCCCCATCACTTGTTCAGCATTTATTTTGTGTGCCTTTCCTAAGTGCCAGGCACTGAGGCAGGCAACCGAGAATACAAGGTGAACAGGACTAAGGGAGCCAAGGGAGCTACAGACAAGGTCATAGGCATTGCGGGTTCAGTGTCTTAAGGGTGTGACATGGGAGGTCAGTGGTCTGCGGGAGCCCAGGGAAGGGACATCTCATCCAGACCTGGGAAGTCAAGGAAGGCCTTCCTAGAAGAAGACAGGGTGAAACTGAGGCCTGAAGGATTGGGCCTGCCTCAGGTGGGTTGAGGAGGGAGTGGGGGGAGCGTTCCATGAAGACAGAATAGCAAGTGGGCTGGGGTAGGGAGGTGCTGGCCCAAGGTGATGGGTATGGGCAATCCTAGGGCCAAGGGCCAACTTGTGCAAGGCAGAGTGAGTGGCCATCTGTGGAGTTTGGCTTTGACCCTAAGAGCAATGGGAGCCCTTGTACGATCAGATTTTAATTTAGAAAGCTTGCCTGCTGTCATATGTGGTAGCTATTCTGGAAACGGTTGGATAGTTTCTTATGAAACTGAACATGTAATTATCTTATGCCAAGCAATTGTACTCTTGGGCATTTATTCTAGATAAATGAAACTATGTGCACACAAAAATCTCTACATGAAAGGTTCCTAGCAGCTTTATTTATAACAGCCCAAACCAACCCCAGTGTCCTTCACTGGATGAACGGTTAAACTGTGATATATCCATACTGTGGACTACTTCTCAGCCATAAAAAGAAATAAATTATTGAAGTAGATGAGTCTCAGGAATTAGTCTGAGTGAAAACAACCAATCCCCAAAGGTTATAGCTATACTGTATAATTCTATTTGTATTATATGTCACTCTTGAAATAACAAATTGTAGAAATGAAGACTCGATTCCTGGTTTAGTGCTTGCCAGAGATGAGGGTTTGGCGGGGGGGGGGGGGGGGGG